TTGAATGGTTTCTGTTTCAATATGAATACAACTGTTAGACTAACGACAGAGGTGAAAAAAGCCTATTGTTTGTATTCAAGAGAAAATATATACATACATGATTAAAAGTCAAGTTCCTTATTAGTATCCTTGTTCTAAATAAACTGACTTTTTTCTCATAAGCACTTTCATTTTTCTGATGTTTCCTCACATCCCTGTATCTAATGCATAATGTTGTACCAAACTAAAGGGCTCTGATTTCTGTGTCTTGTCCCTTCTACAATTGTAAACCTGCTGCGTGTCCTTGACCTAAACAGAAATGGAGCATGTCATTTTGCACATAAGACCTTGTAAGATCTTGTTTTTGTTTTGTCTTTTCGATTCATTCTTCCTCTGTTTTGTAAATGAAGTGCACCTAAAAATCTGTCCAAGGGCGTATTGTCTCTACTAGTCACGGTGTTTACCTCAATACTTCCTCATGAGGTTTGGGTCTAGTCCAAAACTAATCAAAGAACAGACTGAACAGGTCCTAACAGACACGCACAAATTTAACAAGACCAATGCTTCTTGCAAAGACTTATGGTTTATTCTTTATTAAGTCATCTTCATTTACTATTCACTAAATAAAATATTGTGAGCCTAATTTGAGAAGATGGCAGGATTTTATATTGAAAACAGAATGGTAAGCCAAAGTATTTTGTAAGCTTGTTTTTGCTTACAGCTGACATTTAATCTTTTGTCTGAACTCAAGTGGCTTTATAAAGGGGTGGCTCTGGAATTTGACTCTGCCCATACATGTCATTGCATAAACCCTGTTATTATCATAGACTTGTTATGATAGTCTTGTTATGAGCATCTAGTCCAACAGGTTTCTTTCTTCTTTTTTTTAACATGTGACTTCTTTTCAACTGACTTATTTTCTGTAGACCAAAACTTTAATCGGCAAACTGATTTATAGTTTAACTGGTTATGATGGTAATTTCTTGAGAATAATCTGTCATGAACTCATTAGTGTTAGTTTTAATCCCATATACGTTGTATATAATATGTATTCATGGATACAAAATAATACTTTTTTTTTTTTTTATTGCGAGGTATTGGCAGCTTGTTTTTATAGCCAGCAATCAAGTTTTGATATTCAAGTTGTTGTATTGAATGTTTGTGTTCATGTTCACAGAGTGTGGACATGTCCTATTCCAAAGCTTTATGAGTGAAACAAAAGCTTCTGCGTAACTCAAGATCACTCAGCAATTATACCCATGCATTTGATGATTCAATCAATCAATCAAATTTTATTTATAAAGCGCTTTTCATACAAAAGATGCAACACAAAGTGCTTTACAGTTTGGTTAAAAACAATCCCGCCGGCCCATGACCCCTCCCCCAGACCACCCAACAGACCCACCCCAAACCACAGACAAACACACACACGCTCCCATGCACACTCTCTGACACACTGACACACGCACGCACGCATGCACACACGCACACACGCACACACGCACACACGCACACACACACACACACACACACACACAAGTAAAACAGTAAAACAATGATGAGAGACTTGGCAGGGTTCAGATGCAACCAGCTGAAAAAGCGTCATCCAAGGAGCCGTCTGCACCAGGAGCAGAGAGCTGCCTGTAGCCACAGGGGACGACATACTGTAGGATCTAGAGGAGACCCGAAACCGAGGCCCCAGGCCCCCACCAGGTCCAAGAGTCCGACCCCCACAGCCATGCCGACCACCGCTCCCAGTACAGAGGGTTCCTCCAGAGGAAACCATTCACACATGGTACAGTACTTCAAACTTTTCTGTGATAAATTTTGATGCAGGCAACAGGGACTGCAATTTCTTTATCTGTGTTCTGTTTATTACTATTGTAATGTACAATGCAACACCAACATGTCCCCCACTGTGGGACGAATAGAGGTTATAATGTGTTATAGAAAGCCACTCTCAAAAGGAAGCTGGATCTGTGTTGCAGCTCCTCCAGTAAAACATGTGACTGTGTTCAGCCAACCACGCAGCAGCAGCAACATTGTTCTTGATCTTGTTAGGTTACATGCATGTTGTGCAGCCTTTCAGAAAAGGATAGACAATTTTTTTTTATTATTATGACCTTATTTAGAGTTTTTTATTATTATCTTACTTGTCACTGCATGTTAATTTCAGTGTAGATCAAAGACGGAGATTATAGTCAGTACTTTGTTGTGTGCAGAGCAGTGGGGGCGGGTCCCAGCTCAAAAGTGGCCAAAATGACGTGCGCTGACATGCTTGCAATACCACCCCGGGCCGATGGGGGTGGACCCAGAAGAAGAATTAGCCAATGCTAACATATAGCGTTGGCAGACCTCTCAAAAACGTCTTTACAGGATGGACCAAAAGTTGGCTCTTGGCCCAAAGCTCCGTTCCACATGTGTGTCAATGCTGAGGGGGGTGGATTTTTTTGGACCACTCTAGTGGTCTTTACTCGCTGTGAATTTTTGAAGTCTCTCGTTCAAAGGAATGGAGCTGCGCCGGCTGACGCATGCGCAGATGCGTTTCTTCACAATTTTCTTGTGGGCGGGACCACTCGCGGCCATTTTGGATTGCTCCAGTAGAGCAATTTTTTTGGCCCATTAGTTAGAACAGCGGAGATAGGCGTGACTCTGTCCGTTAATATATACAGTCTATGGTGCAGAGTAATCACAAAGTTGTCAGACAGGTTTTTTTCAAATGTACTAATAACATTTGTAATTAATAACAAGGAACAAATGCAAATCTACAAAATGCAGAAATTGCTACAAAATTACACAAATAAATAGTCAAAAAAATCTATAAGAAAATATTCTGAAAAAAACGAGTTGAACAAAATAGTTGTATTGCGTACATATACCTTGATTTACATTTATGTAAATGTGCACTTTATTGTCCCCGTAGGGAAAATTGTCCTCTAAAATTGTATCTTGAAATATTATGAGAATAAAATCGAAATATTATGAAAATAAAGTCAAAATATTATGAGATATTCACAGTCACAGTAACAGAGACAATGGTGTTCCATCGTGCAAAGCAGCTAAATAAACAGACACCTTGTGCAGAGTTCACTGAAGAGATAGTTTTATGCTTTCATATCCTCTTAATCTGATGACCCAATGTAACAGTGGTGTTATTTGTTACAACTATGTGCGCGTATGGGACAGAGCACATAGCGCACCGGTTATAATCATAAATGCAGCTCGTGGAAGTTCACTCTGGAAGACTGACTGCTAAAGCCTATCTCCTTCAGGCCTGCCACACATCCTCGGCCTATCGCAGCAAAACGCCCATTTCCAGCCAACCTCTGCTGGCCAGGCCAGCAGCTTAAAAGATTTCCAACCGACATGTATGAAAACTATTGCTGTTAATTTTTCCATTTTGCAGTGAATTTATGGGCTTCCTGTTTGTCAGAGGGCGGGGCCATAATAATATTTTTTACATGTCTTGACTTGAGGAACATGTGTACCGAATTTCATGGCTCTACAACAAACTTGATCTCCAAAACTCCCATAGGGGTATTATTTTGTCTGTTGTAGGTGGCGCTGTTCTGGCATTTTTTGAGTCCCATAAAAATAAACACCAAAATATCACATTTTTTGCCAGGTCTGATTTTTTTGAAAAATTTTACAACTTTTCATGCATGTTCAGGGGGTCAAATTAAGGCTCAAAGGGCAGAATTTGACATCTCTCAAGCAAAAACAATAGGCCCTTTCTCCGTTCGGGGCTCGGGCCTAATAAATAAATAAATATACCAAGGAATTTTTTTTCGACGTCTCGAGCAAAAACAATATAGGTTTCAATGGCACGTGATACATAATTTTAAAGCGTTTGAGTTTACGCACGCAACCGTCACGTTTTGGTGAGTGACAGGCGCTGACGCGTCCGTCACGCACCGCCACCATTTGTTTTCACCACTGTGAAAGCAATAGGCCCTTACCCCGTTCGGGGCTCGGGCCTAAAAAAGCATTTGGCTAAAAATAGCTGGGCAACTAAATGTTGCCCATATATTGTTTTACCTGACAGTCTCCTCGGGGGCCGGACCCCCAAAGAGAAAATTAAATCAGATTCAGATTCATTTATTTGCCATTTGCAGTAAAACCACATTGTAATTAATCTGCAAAAGTCCCCAGTGTGCACAAGACAAGTACATACGTTGAAACTAACGTGCCTTCTGAGGGCTTTTGCGCTTGGTCCACTCTAGTTTACGAGCCCCATTGATATAACGAGTGCATTCAAAAGTCCACAGCGGCTAAACTAGACTGGTCCAAAAATGCTGGTCCCCTCAGCATTGACACACATCTAGAACGTCAGCTCTTGGGCCAAGAGCCGAATTTTGGACCAGGCAGTAAAGCCGTTTTTGAGAGGATAGAAGGTAGCATATAAAAGATTGGGTAATTCTTTTTCACCTCCAAAATTAAGGCTATCTTAATTGTCCTCACAGACCGACATTACCCCCTGTTGGATAAGAGACTGTGTGATTTCAAAATTATTATATAATATATTGACAGTTGTTTTCAAACAAAAAATAAAATACATGAAACTGAGTCCATGTGTCATAGAGACAGGCTTTTGTACTGAATGACCAAATGACAATGTGGAGATTGTTGATGACAACTAAAAACACAGGAAGAGGAGGTCTTTTTCTGTCACTTAAAACAAGTCGGTGAAATTTGTGTCACACAGAAGACCACCATGGAACCATCAGCACCGAGGCTCACAGGTGATTTATACTGAGTTTATTCAGGGACAGTGCATTATTTGTTTATTATCCCTCCAGACTGCTGCCATCTCTCGACTAACTATCTCTTTAGTTTCTTTATATATATTTCATGGATAATTATTCCTGGTGCCCCTAAAGCAGTACTGGTGCACTTTAACATTTTATTTTGTAGCCCAGCCTCTGACTTTTTAACATTACTAATTATTTCTTAACCCACAAAAAAAAAACAATTATAGATTTTGCGTGTGTTTAATTTCATGTTCTTGATTATATTTTCAGTGAGTCCAAACCGGTCCCAGTTCTTCAGATTTGACCAAGTGTTACTGAGCTGTGGGAGCACTGGAGACTGGGCTGTGTTCAGAAACACCAGCACAGTCAGCAGGAAGCCCTGTGGACAGGACTGGGGCAAGTTGAATGGTTCTGTGTGTGAGATCGAGTCACTCTATTCTGATGACAGTGGTCTGTACTGGTGTGAGAGAGACGGACACCGCTCTGCAGCTGTGAACATCACAGTTCATGAACAAAGAGGTAAAACTCTTCACACTCTCATCAACAAACCACACACATAATAATAGCTCTTATTTCTGTTAAGGATGAACAGAGATAAGGCACTTCTCGGCAGTGAGGAATGTCATAATGAGCTGTGTTGGGACTTAGCAGAAATTAGAATACTAGTGCCAAAGCTAGAAACCTGTGATGTGGAGACAAGTGAGAAGGGATTGCAATGTCTTCTTCGAGGATCTTGAATGAAAAGATTAACCTTAAAAAATGTCTTATTAGTGGACCTCCAACAAATATAGATGGAATTGACTACCAAGTTCAGACGATTGTATCAGTTAGAGTTAAAGTGGAGTTAAAGTGTTGATAGCTTCACCCTTGCCTTGAGTCCTCTGCAGCCTGTGCAGCGCGTTCAGTTGTTGCACTTGTGCTCGGATAAACAAGTGCTGAGTGAGTTTAGAATTGTCATGCTTTTTAATTGCCGTTTGCACTGTAACACAAGTGAAACAACATCACAAGGCATCCTCGCTGAGGACCTCCCTAGACCCCCAAGTTTCCTTTCCCGGCAGCGTGGGTAGTATCTCCGATCTAAAATATGCAAATTCCTGTACACGTTAAAATGAAAATCAAATTAGGAGGTGGCCGTTTTGTTAGTGTTATTACATTGTTATTACTGCACATGGGTCTCACACAGTCAGCGAAAGGAAGGAAGAAGCAAAGAGTTTTCAACAATACAACCATCTCTACCGTCCCCAAAGGTCTCAGCACCTTCAAAATCACCTCTTCAAGACAACAACACGGCAGGAGCCGCTGCAGCACCCTCAGCAGGAATAGCAGCAACAGCAGCAGCAGTAGAAGCATTTGACACTACACCCGCTTTTCTTCATCAGGGACAGAGAAGATTAAATCTCTTTTTTTGTATTTATTATTATTACTGTGTCATCTTCATTAATTCACTTTTACCATTCTACATACAGCATAACAAGACACATTTTATTTTAATCTCTTGTTTTGTAAAGCCTCAATATTTATTTTAATTGTAATTATAGAGACAAGCACCAGCCCTCCTCTTGCTTCGTCCAAGCAAAAAATTGCTACTTCAACCTCTGCCCCGGTCAAAGCCCCCTCCTCTGGGCTTTTCGTCCCTCTGTTCTGCTCCATCATGGGTCTGCTGCTGCTTCTGCTGCTGCTTCTGCTGCTGCTGCTGCTGTGGGTCAAATGCTGCAGACACAAGCACAATGAAGGTGAGTCACATTTTCAATTTGTTTAATTTACTAGTTAAATTAATACATTTAATCATTTATTTTAGAAACAAAATCCACACATATGTATGCACCAAAAGCAACATCGGGGCTATTATGTGTATACATTATTTCTAATTTCAAAGCAGAAGCAACATATTGTCTATTCCCTGTTTTGTTTGAATAAAACTAAATGATTTTAGAACTCAGTATTAAAGAATGACTATGATACGGTACCAACCGTTAAAAAGGAGACAGTATTTAGGGGTCGTTACATTATGTTATTTTATCTATCTGCATCAGCTTCAGCCTGGACAACAACAGCTCCATAGAAATGCATGATTTAAAGTATAAATGAATTTTGAAGGATGCATGAGCGCATTCATGATTTGAATGCACTGGGAAACGGCAACAAATCCTAGCAGCTCTGAAGATTTTGTACTCTACAATCATTACTTTTTCTAGCTGTAGAATCCAGTGCACCCAGAGCAAAGATGATGCACGGTCCGAAACAAGCAGATCAAGTGTAAAGAAATGTTTTTTCAAAACATGCACTGGCAGGAATTAGCAAAGTATTCCGTTTTTCCTGAGCGGTGAGAAGGGCCACTCTCTGCATACATACAGGAAGCAGCTCATTGCCAGGTACATCGCAGGAGAGGACCACTGGCAGGGTAAAAAGCATGAACACCACAGAGGCCAGGGCCCTGAAGGAGAATCACCGATACTTAAATGGAACTGCGCTAACCAGGTTGGCAAAATGTGCATATTCAAGTACTCACGAGATGAGCTCCTTCAGCTTTGACGAAGCCCAGGTGGGAGGAAGCATCCGATCTCTCTGGAGATCAAGAGTCCCTTCAGAGGATGTCAAGCCGCAGCTAAGAAGAAGGCAAGGGGGTTCCGGTACAAACCATTCGTACCATCAATAATAATGGAGAATGTCAACTCACTTCAAAATAAGTCAGAGGAACTTGAGGCTTTGGTGAAGTGTGATGCAACTTACCGGGACTGTAGCCTTTATCTCCTATCTGAATTGTGGCTACCTGACAACATTCCCGATTCAGTAGTAGTTTATAGTCAGGGCTGACAGAGACACTAAAGCGTGCGGTAAAACGAAGGGTGGTGGACCTGCCATGCTTGTCAACAACAACTGGGGCAATCCCGGTCCCATAACCATGAAACAGAAGAGCTGTTGTTGGGATATTGAACTGCTAGTGGTCGGCATTTGGCCCTACTATCTTCCGCGGGAGTTCTCTCACGTCGTCGCCATTATTGTTTACATTCCTCCTCGCGTTGAGCCAGAAACTGCGTGTGACGTCATTCAGGAGGCAGTCGCTAAAATTCACTCACAGCATTTTGAGGCATTGATGATAGTATCAGGGGACTTCAACCATGTCGATGTGAGCTCACACTTGGCTGGCTTTACACAATATGTAGATTGTCCTACCACCGGCCACTTTATTAGGTACACATACTAGTACCGGGTTGGCCTCCCTTTTGCTTTCAAAACTATCTTAATCCTTCGTGGCATAGATTCAACAAGGTACTGGACACATTCCTCCGAGAGTTTGGTCCATATTTATAGCAACATGCAGTTTCTGCAGATTTGTCAGCTGCACATCCATGATGCGAATCTCCTGTTCCACCACATCCCAAAGTTGCTCCATTGGAATGAGATCTGGTGACTGTGGAGGCCATTACAGTACAGTGTTCAAGAAACCAGTCCGTGATGATTGACAGGAGTGGCACCCAGTGTGGTCTTCTGCTGCTGTAGCCCATCTGCCTCAAGGTTTGACGTGTTCTGTGTTCAGAGAGGCTCTCTTGCATCCCTTGGTTGTAACAAGTGGTTATTTGAGTCACTGTTGCCTTTCTATCAGCTCAAACCAGTCTGGCCATTCTCCTCTGACCTCTGGCATCAACAAGGCAATTATTCCCTCCAAACTGCTGCTCACTGGATATTTTCCCTTTTTGGACCATTCTCTGTAAACCCTAGAGAAGGTTGTGTGTGAACATCTCAGTAGATCATAAGTTTCTGAAATACTCAGACCAGCCCGTCTGGCACCAACAACCATGCCACGTTCAAAATCACTTAAATCACCTTTCTTCCCCATTCTGATTCAGATCGTCTTGACCATGTCTACAGCCTAAATGCATTGAGTTGCTGCCATGTGATTGGCTGATTAGGCATTTTCATTAAAGTGAAGTTAGAATAGCTAATACCTACCTAATACAGTGGCCGGTGAGTGTATAAGCCAAATATAATGAGAATACCCATAGTCCGTGGATCATTCAGGCAATGGACAACAGAGGCCAGTGATGCTCTGAGGGACTGCTTTGAGACTACCGACTACAATATACTTCTGGGCTCAGGGGAGGACATTAACAAGGCTGTGGACAGTGTTACAGATCACATCCACTTCTGGCCCGATGTCGCTGTGCCAAAGAAAACAGTCCACTGTTTTCCAAATAACAAACCTTGGATCTCAAGTGAAAACACAGACACAGTGAACCTAAAGAAACAGGCTTTTAAGGCAAGTGACAGGGACCAGGTGAGGATTGTCCAACACGACCTGAGGAGGACATTGAGACAGGAAAGGAGGGAGTACAAGAATGGTCTGGAGGAGAAACTGCAAAATAACGACACCCGGGAAGTGTGGAAGGACATGAGGGCCATAACTGGATACAAAGAGAGGGGCATGCTGATGAGTTTAACCACTTTTTCAACCTGTTTGACTTTTCCCCTGTCCACGCTGATTCTGCTGTGATCTGTCCTGCTCCTCTCGGCGGCTCCACCACGTCTGCTGCTGCGACCAGTGCTGCTCCTCTTGGCGGCTACACCGCCCCTGCTGCTGCATCCTTCTTCATCGTGGAGAATGTCCGGAGGGAGCTAAAGAAGATCCAGGGGAGGAAGTCTGTTGGGCCTGATGGGATTACACCAAGGCTCCTGAAGGGATGTGCAGCGGAGTTAGCTGAGCCTCTCCATACCATCCCTAACAAGAGTCTTCAGAATGGATGTGTCCCTGCCCGCCGGAAAACCTCCTGCCTGGTACCCTTCCCCAAGGTAGCAAGGCCGACAGGATGCGAGGACCACAGACCAGTTGCACTAACATCTGTCATAATGAAGACTTTTGAGAGGCTAGTACTCCGACTGCTCATGCCACAGGTCGAGCAGGCTCTTGACCCCCTGCAGTTTGCCTATCAGGAGAACATGGAAGTGGATGATGCAGTCCTCTACATGCTCCAACGGTTCGTGTCCTTCCTGGATAGCCCTGGAGGCTATGTGAGGCTGATGATCTTCAACTTCTCCAGTGCATTTAACACCGTCCAACTTCTCTTACTGAGAGAGAAACTGGAGAAGATCGGAGTTGATCCCATCTTTAGCAACTGGATTTACAATTACCTCACTGTGAGGTCACAGTTTGTCAGGTTAGGGAAGAGCATGACTGGGACTGTTGTGAGCAATACGGGAGCACCACAGGGTGGTTCTGGCTCCCTTCTTCTTCACATTTTACACTGCAGACTTTGCACACAACTCTGCTACATGCCATGTACAAAAATACCACTGTTGTGGCATGTGTGAAGGGGGCTATGAAGCAGAGTACAGGGAGGTGGTCTGATCCTCAATGCGTCCAAGACCACGGAGATGATCATTGACTTTTACAAGAGCCCTACCCATTGACCGATCACACTAAATGGACAGGACATTGAAGTGGTACAGTTATACAAAGACCTAGGAGTCCACTGGACTACAGACTGGACTGGTCAGCTCAGGCCAATGCTTGTCAATAAGAAAGGTCAGAGCAGACTCTTCTTCCTGAGAAGACTGAGGTCCTTTGATGTGAGCAGTCAGATGTTGCACATATTTTACCAGTCAGTTGTAGCTAGTGGCGTATTCTTTGAGGTCGCGTGTTGAAGCGGCAGTCTGACCTCGAGAGACAGTAACCGCCTCGACAGGTTGATCGGGAAATGTGTCTTTGTGATGGGAAGAAGTGTGGAGTCTGTGGGAGCTGTGCTGGAGAGAAGGATGAGGGCTCGAATGCAGGGCATCCTGGGTAACACCCTCTGCATCACACTATGGCCGCTCAGAGGAGTGGTTGTAGCAATAGGCTCCTATCACTGTCCGTTTGGCATCAGAACGTTTGGCTGTCAGACTGTACAACACACCTGGATGAGTCTTCTGCTGTGTAGGACCTGGAGCAGTGGCGCATGGGCTGAATCCGGCCCGCCTCAATACCAGAGAAGAGAGCATTTAGAATTGTTTTGTTTGTATTTGATAATAAAGTTGGATTATTTTTTCTGTCTATCTCATCTGTCAAGAGGCGGTGGCGGAATTCAAATTAAAAAATCTGCGGCGACACTATGAGTCCTGTCACAAACTGACCCGGCCCCCCCTCAGAGAAGGGAGAAGTTATGTGGCCGTCACAGGACAAATGTTTGGGGACCCCTGATCAAGAGTCTTTATACATAAGAAGCCAAAGCGTATATTTTCAAAACAATATTTTTAATACCCAAAAGTTTTGCATTTCCTTGAATTCCATTTTTTACTCAATGTAATAAAACGCTACATTTGACAGTGTATGTCCAGGCTGTTTACAATTGTACATGATTCCAGGTGTGAGAGACGGCTCTTGTTCAGGGGAGTTTGTGGCTGATGAAATCACCTACAGCGACATATTACATCATCGGCAGAGACGACCAATCACACGCTCAGGTCAGAATCCTGCTCATTACTATGAACACATGGGTTTGAACTAAAAATATCATTGGACACATAAAGGTCTTTTTCACGGGTGGAAAGAAACTATAGAAATACAAGGAACTTAGACCCTCGGCGAGAACTACTAACTCGACATATACTAGTAATAACTGAATAATTAGAGTCCAATTCTGTATCAAGGACATAAGACTGGATGGATCACCATTGTTGATAAAAGGTGTTTTCTCAGGTCACAAAGTACCGGGTGAACGCTGAACCTCCACACTCGAAGTTGTAAGCCGAATTTGGCGATAGAAGGCTCCTGGTCAATTGGTGTTCATATCTAGATTTGCAACAACAAAAAATAACATAATATAAAAAATATATAATATTGATGTGGCAATACATTGCAATATTTTCACAAGCTAATTAACCTCCAACCGCCAACAACGGGTCATAATCAATGAATGGGAGTCAACATGAGTGAAAACAGTGGCTCTTAGACAGTATCTTTGCACACCAGAGTAACCTGGAAGTTTATTCTCAGTTTGGCAGTTAATTAAGAGTAATTATTTTAGTAGTTATTTTCAGGCAGAATGAAATCAGGATGTGCATTATTAGTACAATCTTACGCCACACATTGAAAGATAAAGTCGCCATGACCTATTATGTCTGCATTTGTCCACTGGGTGAAGGCTAGTTCATACTCGATTGTTCATAACAGTATTATTATGAGGTATTACTTTTACAGCAGTTTGCTTATTTTTTTCTGGTAGATTTTCAATGTTTAGATTGTTCCATAATTGGACCAAAGGTAAATAAGGAGTTTATGTATTTACCAAATTATTGGCCATTATGTTTTGGCCAATAATTTGCTTTAAAATGAGTAACATGCCAGAGAAGCGCCTGACCTCCTACCATCAATGTTTGGAGTTTACCAAAAATGCTTGAGTATTTTGGGGGGCTACTAAAAGCTGGTCCTGGGCATTTGGCCGTTGCGACCCTTGAGATAGTGTCTAAATACAGTCTATGATGCCGATGAATTACAATGAATTACATACCTCTGCTGTCTGTGTTTGCAATGTTTGGCTGAAACAGGCTCAATTTAAGACGTTTCAAAATGTGTTCTGAGCATTTCTATAGGGGAATTGTGTGTGAGATAATGAAGGAAACTTATCAAATACCACACTGTACACTTATTTACCTAATTAAAATGAGGTTTAAATTTTTTGAAATACAGTTGCACAAAATATAACCCAACTGTTTTCACAATTCAAGTATTTTTTCCATCCCTGTTTTTTTGCAAAGGAACCACATGACCATTTACTGCTAATAATACAAAGGTCTGTGCACTGGTTCTGTGGTGGATGAGGCCCACCCGAGTGAGACGTGTGGTTTCAACTGTCACTGCTGCGTGTGAGGCCAGTTCTAGCAATGGGGCTTTATCCATTTTGATACTGTATTTTGACTCTGATGATGGTTTCTTCTGAATGTTCACACCTCACACATTTCATTTGATTTATTTATTTGTTTCAAACATGCACAAGATTAACAATTATTCACAGAAAAATAAAATAAAATAATAAGAACAAAAATACCTACATGGTTTGAAAAGGGATTGGATGAAGCAAAAAGTTTTTATTAATCAAATCCCCTACAGCCATTCAGACACACACTACAATACAAAAACAATGCTCTACAATACAGTAAAACATTACAAATGACTGCAATAAGGGACACACACATGAGATGCGCACACAAACACCAGTGGCAAGACCCTAACCCTAACACACACACGCACACACACACAAACACTAACACTAACACACAAACACACACACACACACACTAACACACATACAGTAACACAGACCAACATGACAACTTAAATTGGTTTAATGTTTATTTTGCTGTAGTACATCATACATCTGAAATTAAACAAAATACAGCGTTTTTAAATTAACTACTCAAATTATTAGTCTAGTCCAGACTAACAGTTGAAAGAACAAAGATGCATCATGTATTAGTCAACTGCACAACCGCTCAGTTCAGTTTATCACAAATATTCCGTAGAAACATTACACATTTACTCAGTTAGATAAAAACAGGACTCATGTTGTACTTACAGTAAATGTGCTGATTGCTGAAACAATGCACTGTTTGATTAGTTTCAAATTCTGCGTATTTCAGAGAATGTGCAGAGTCCAGTTCATTCATCTGTGAAAACTGAAGAAATCCAGTACTCTTCAGTCAACATCAAGACTCGAGGTAAAACCAGAACTGAAGCAGAGACTGAAGCAGGGACTGATGCAAGGACTGATGCAGGGACTGATGCAGGGACTGATGCAGGGACTGATGCAGGGACTGAAGCAGAGACTGAAGCAGGGACTGAAACAGGGACTGAAGCAGAGACGGAAGCAGACACTGACACAGAGACCAGGACTGAGCCATGATTGCTTTTGTGTTTCAGGAAAAGGTCGTGTCAGACGCACAGAAAAAGGTATAAAGGTTTTTTTTCATCAATTTACAGTATAAAGTGCTTATTTTTTGGGTTTGTTCATGGTAGCTGAGTTGATAATAATTTCGAGTGCCACTTATTTTACGATTTAAAAAAGTGTTATACTTTATACTACAGTGAATGTGCTGATTGCTGAAACAATGCACTGTTTGATTAGTTTCAAATTCTGCGTATTTCAGAGAATGTGCAGAGTCCAGTTTATTCATCTGTGAAAACTGAAGGAATCCAGTACTCTTCAGTCAACATCAAGACTCGAGGTAAAACCAGAACTGAAGCAGAGACTGAAGCAGAGACTGAAGCAGAGACTGAAGCAGGGACTGAAGCAGGGACCGAAGCAGAGACCGAAGCAGAGACCGAAGCAGAGACCGAAGCAGACACTGAAGCAGACACTGAAGCAGAGACCGAAGCAGAGGCCGAAGCAGAGGCCGAAGCAGGGACTGAAGCAGAGACCGAAGCAGAGACCGAAGCAGAGACTGAAGCAGAGACCGAAGCAGAGACCGAAGCAGAGACCGAAGCAGAGACCGAAGCAGAGACCGAAGCAGAGACTTTAAGCAGAGACCGAAGCAGAGACTTTAAGCAGAGACCGAAGCAGAGACCGAAACAGAGACCGAAGCTGAGACCGAAGCAGAGACTGAAGCAGAGACTGAAAGCAGAGACTGAAAGCAGAGACAGAATCAGATATTGAATCAGAGACTGAAGCAGGGACCAAAACAGAGACCGAAGCAGAGACCAGGACTGAGCCATGATTGCTTTTGTGTTTCAGGAAAAGGTCGCGTCAGACACACAGAAAAAGGTATAAAGGTTTTTTTTTCATCAATTTACAGTATAAAGTGCTTATTTTTTGGGTTTGTTCATGGTAGCTGAGTTGATAATAATTTTGAGTGCCACTCATATAAAAAAAATGCTGTTGATAAAATAAATATATCTAATTTTACGATTTAAAATTTTTTAATACTTGTTTTGTAGAGGAGAATCCAGTTTATTCCTCGGTGAAAACTCAAGATGTGTGCCATTCCCCCATCATCATCAATGAGACTGGAGGTAAAACTAGGACTGAGCCAAAACTAAAAAAGGTCCGAAGAACAGTGAAAACTTGAATAAACATGGTCAATGGGATACACTTGTGTGTGCGTAAAAATAAAAGGCATTATTGTAACTTTGGTCCCTTAAAAATGATATTGGTAATATTTTCTTCAGTGCAGTCATAAGAAGAGAGAAGGTCTGAGGCACGAGGTCATAGTGAGGCCTCGGACTTCTCTCTTCTTTCACTAAAACATGCGTTCAGTCTACACCTTGTTATCCAGGTGAGCACTCCCAGCTTCTGAAATGAACATATTTAAGAAATTAATTCAGATTTTTCATTTCAAATTGGCCATATTTTGTAATACAATTTTACACCAGAGGCATGTGACTTAATCAGTGACTTAAATCTTCCACTTTTGATGTAATCAAAAGAATTGGTGTTATTTGAGCAGAAAAAAGAAAATCAGAAAATTTGCAATGTAAAACAATAGTGAAACAGGTAGAAGAACAGTAAAATAATATCCTTGGTAATAATAGTATAATAATAATATCCAACCGGCTGCAGCACAATGAGAGCACTCAGTTATTTTTTCATCTTAACCATAAATGTTTTAAAATGTGTCGTGAATTTACTGATTGTTACAACATATCAAAAAGCTAAAAGAGGCCTCATAAGCAGAATATGAACACTCCTTGTGTCCTTCATATAGCCTCACTCCTGTCCCCTGGTGGTCTCCTAACGTCAATATGTGCACAGCCATGAGAGAATATTCACTTGTTCATGATGCCTTTGTTTGGAGTGTTTACAATTGCTTTTATTTTTGTTGACAGTATTTGCTTTTTTGTACTACAGATGCAGCCTCCTGGACGAAGGGAAGAAAGACAGAAACTAAATGATCCAACTACTTCCACAACACCTTTATTTATCTTTTACACGTATCTGGCATTGTTGATATTTATGCTCATATTGTCAGAAAAAGTATTTGCACTATTGTGCACACAATTGAAAATAACTTCAGTGATTGAATGAAGGATATTATTTTACTGTGATTACACATGCATATATTGCTATTGATGGAATATATTTGTTGCATTGTCTTTCTTTTCTTCACACCTACCCAGTATTAGCTAAATTCTTCTTCTTTAAAAAGGACATTTTACACATTATTTATTTTTCCTGTTTTTGAATATGAACTGAAATATTCAGTATAGGAATTACATGGTGAAATAAGTATCAAGAATATTTAAAGCTGTCAACCTTCCCCATCCCTCAGTTCCCACCACAGGGAGGGGTAGAATTCATTCAGATTTTTTTCTTCCATATATTTAAAGATTACTGGCTGCAAACACAGTCCTATGATTATAAATAACAAAAATAATAATAAATTTAACTTGGGAAATTGTCCAAACTAATTTATGGTAAGGACATTTCTTTCAAAATGCAGAAACACAGTAATGAATGATGACATGAAGCATCTTTCAGGTTCCAAAAAAGTCAAACATTATTTACAAAGTAGAAAAACCCTGTTGAAAGCAGACCACCAAAAAATCCTGGATCCGAACAGAGATCCAGATCACCTACTGTAGGGTTTACTGTATCAAAAGGAAATGTGTCCTCTACATTTGACCCATCCTTCCATTACCACTGGGGAAACCTGTGGCGCTGCACTAAAGGACCCATCCCCAGATGTTGTTGCTCGTCTTGGTCCAGAAAGTCGCTGAAGGATAAACCTGTTACATGTTTGTTTTGGGTTAATTGTAAGGATTAGATAGCTACTTGGCCTACGTGCAGGACAAGCACAAGACTCTACAAGGACTGATGGTGCATTCATGTTATGACTATGATGTGCTCTGTCTCTGTGTGACACGTATGTCTTTCGATGTGTGACGTAACAATGACTATATAACTTTACTGACTCCATTTTGATCTGAGAGAAAGAAACATCAGAAACCACTGGAACTTGAGAGAAACATAATAAACTTCCAGAGTTTGGCGCACCACGATCCGTCTCTGTCTGGTTCATTCCTGACATAATATTAACATGTTCCTTGTCTCATTTCAGAGGTTTTCTGAAAATGCGTTATATGTTGCTCACAGACAGACGAATGGACAAACCCTGGTGGTTCATTTGCTCATTTGCACATTTCTCTAAATTCTTTAGCTGCCCCACTGCTTTTCAGAGCGCCCTGCACAATGCACGCTTCCTACTCCGTCTCACTACAGCAGAGACTCAACATGGTGCTCGGTCCACACAAACAAGTGGATTCCAGAGGCAATATACATAAACAAACGATATGCAAATACAAAAGGCAAATTGTGAGTCTCATAATATGGACCAAGAACTCTCCTTCAGAGCACATATAAACCAAGCAACTAAGACTGTATATTTTTTATCTGCACAACATCGCTAAAATTATGAATATCCTTCCTAAAAGTGATGCAGTAAAACTGTTCCAAGGCAAGGCAAGGCAAGGCAAGGCAAGTTTATTTATATAGCACAATTCATACACAAGGCAATTCAAAGTGCTGAACAAAATAAGAAAGCATTAAAATCATAAATAATCACAGAACATTAAAAAGAAAGATACAAATATAAAATCCCTCAGTTGTATGCACAGCTAAACAGAACTGTCTTTAACCTGGTTTTAAACATTGTCAGAGAGGAGGCCTGTCTTCCACGCTGATCCTCGAACTGTTCGATTCTCTGATCTGTCGTTGAGGATTTTCAACTATGTAAAGTCCTCCGGGGTGACTGCCTTTGTGATTTAGGGATATATGAAAATATATTGAATTGAATAATACAGTGCCTTGCGAAAGTATTCGGCCCCCTTGAACCTTTCAACATTTCGCCACATTTCAGGCTTAAACATAAAGATATACAATTTTAATTTTTTGTAATGAATAAACAACAAGTGGGACACAATCGTGAAGTGGAATGAAATGTATTGGATGATTTAAACTTTTTTAACAAATAAAAAACTGAAAAGTGGGGCGTGCAATATTATTCGGCCCCTTTACTTTCAGTGCAGCAAACTCACTCCAGAAGTTTAGTGAGGATCTTTGAATGATCCAATGTTGTCCTAAATGACTGATGATGATAAATAGAATGCACCTGTGTGTAATCAAGTCTCCGTATAAATGCACCTGCTCTTTGATAGTCTCAGGGTTCTGTTTAAAGCACAGAGAGAACCATGAAGACAAAGGAACACACCAGGCAGGTCCGAGATACTGTTGTGGAGAAGTTTAAAGCCGGATTTGGATACAAAAAGATTTCCCAAGCTTTAAACATCTCAAGGAGCACTGTGCAAGCAATTATATTGAAATGGAAGGAGTATCAGACCACTGCAAATCTACCAAGACCCGGCCGTCTCTCCAAACTTTCATCTCAAACAAGGAGAAGACTGATCAGAGATGCAGACAAGAGGCCCATGATCACTCTGGATGAACTGCAGATAACTACAGCTGAGGTGGGAGAGTCTGTCCATAGTAGTAAGTAAGTAGTAATCTTTATTTATATACCGCCTTTTCACTGCAGATCTGAGTCTCAAAGCGGTTTACAATTGTTAATTTTTGGGCATTTGTCTCTCACTCCACAGAGAGATGGGAGTGGGGTCGGCAGTACAGGAAGCGCATGCCAGAACTATTGGACATCATTTTAGTGGTAGGGGAAACCGGAGTACCCAGAGGAAACCTACGCAGACACGGGGAGAACATGCAAACTCCACTCAGAAAGGCCCTGGTCCGACCGGGATTCAAACCCAGGACCTTCTCGCTGAGAGGCGAGAGTGCTATCCACTCAGCTCATAGGACAACAATCAGTCGTGCACTGCACAAATCTGGCCTTTATGGAAGAGTGGAAAGAAGAAAGCCATTTCTCAAAGATATCCATAAAAAGTCTCGTTTAAAGTTTGCCACAAGCCACCTGGGAGACACACCAAACATGTGGAAGAAGGTGCTCTGGTCAGATGAAAACAAAATCGAACTTTTTGGCCACAATGAAAAACGATATGTTTGGCGTAAAAGCAACACAGCTCATCACCCTGAACACACCATCCCCACTGTCAAACATGGTGGTGGCAGCATCATGGTTTGGGCCTGCTTTTCTTCAGCAGGGACAGGGAAGATGGCTAAAATTGATGGGAAGATGGATGGAGCCAAATACAGGACCATTCTGGAAGAAAACCTGTTGGAGTCTGCAAAAGACCTGAGACTGGGACGGAGATTTATCTTCCAACAGGACAATGATCCAAAACATAAAGCCCAATCTACAATGGAATGGTTCACAAATAGACGTATCCAGGTGTTAGAATGGCCAAGTCAAAGTCCAGACCTGAATCCAATCGAGAATCTGTGGAAAGAGCTGAAGACTGCTGTTCACAAACGCTCTCCATCCAACCTCACTGAGGTCGAGCTGTTTTGTAAGGAAGAATGGGCAAGAATTCCAGTCTCTCGATGTGCAAAACTGATAGAGACATACCCCAAGCGACTTGCAGCTGTAATTGCAGCAAAAGGTGGCGCTACAAAGTATAAGCGCAAGGGGGCCGAATAATATTGCACGCCCCACTTTTCAGTTTTTTATTTGTTAAAAAAGTTTAAATTATCCAATACATTTCGTTCCACTTCACGATTGTGTCCCACTTGTTGTTGATTCTTGACAAAAAAAATTATGAAATATCTTTATGTTTGAAGCCTGAAATGTGGCGAAATGTCTTTCGCAAGGCACTGTATATTCATCTTTATAGGTTCAGTGAAATGACTATTCTGACCTGTCATTTGGGCTTTTTATGATTTGGGCATATTGCCTCTGGTAGGCCAAAACAAATTATCTTCAGTTACTTCTCACGAAATAAAATATTGTGATCATGGATTTGACAAGATAGCAAGATGGGAAGCCAATGTATGTTGTTATGATGTGTTACGCAGATCTTGTTTTGCATCTTCTGTCTGGAAGTGGTTGAGAAGGCTTGGCTCTGGAATTTGACTCCACCCATTTCTCAACATGTCATTGTGATGGTGTTTATTTCCTCTTTTGTAGATTAAAACCTGTTATTATACAAACAGTCACCAAATCACAAATGTGCACCCAGTCATACAGGTTTTTAACTCACTTTTCTGTAGACTGAAACTCTGAACATGACATAAATAGAGACAACATTAATTTTGTTTCCTTTTTTTTTTTTTTTACAATATTACCAAAACAACAATAATAATGATGTGTCCATATGATGTGCTATCCTCCCTCGGGCACATCTCCTGAAGGATCCTTAAGGCGTCCCGTTCAATATTGCATCCAGTACACGCTCCTTCTCCTCACCTACAAGCCCCTCCATAACCTGGCCCCGCCCTCCCTCACCGAGCTCCTACAAAAACACCAACCCAGCCGCCACCTTCGCTCAGCCGACTCCAACCACCCCAATCCCATCTACTGCACTAACCGCTAAATCTTGGGGGACAGAGCCTTTGCCATTTCTGCCCCAACCCTCTGGAACTCACTCCCACTGCCCATTATAAACTCTGACTCTCCCAAACTTTAAATCAGTCTCAAAACGCACCTGTTCAATCAAGCTTCTCCGTAACCCCCCCCCCACACACTTTTTTTTTTATACCCCATGTGAAGCATCTTTGAGTGTCCAAAAAAGCGCTTTACAAGTTTGAAGTATTATTATTATTATTATTATAATCATTATTATTATTAAGGTGTGGGTGGATAGAAGCCATGAGTTTAGATTAGTGTCACATACACATTACATGCAGTGAATTTCTTATGTTCCTCCAGCAGTTGTTCAGTAGAATGAATGAATGAACGTTAATATCTCGGCCTCGGCAGTGGCTCTCATCATCAACTGGATGAAGCGTCTGCGGCATCTTCTCGTAAATGCAATGGAGCAATCTCTGT